ATCGAGGTCAGCTGTAAGTAACATGTTTAAAATTGAAAAAAATGTTGTGTTTTATCACGGTTGTGGATCTTGTTAACAGAACAATTACCAGGTAGTATCTAAAGCACTAGTCTTTTAATAAACACACAGAACAGTTATAGGGTAGAACTTACAGCACGTGTGTGTTTAATTAACACACAGAACAGTTATAGGGTAGAACTTACAGCACGTGTCTGTTTAATTAACACACAGAACAGTTATAGGGTAGAATTTATCTACCCTATTTTCTATCAATGTGTGTGTCAGTTATGTGCTAAAAATAGAGACACACCAACACCGATATATATATATATATATAATTATAATATGGATGTATAGTCAGATACATTATTAAATTACATTTTTATATATTTTATATAGTGTGCCTGAAACAAAACGTGCAAGCGACAAGCGTCTCTGATCTGTGTCAGAGTGTGGTGTGCTATATATATCAATATTGAATTTAAAAAAAAAAGACGAAAAGAAACTCAAGCACTAGCCTGCTTTAATTGAAATACACAATAGTTACAAAGTAAAAGCTAAACAAATAGCCTGTTAGTTAACAAACAGCAGAGTAAGCAAGTTAGATCGCAAATAATTAAAATATTGATTATCAGAATAGTAACTAAACAGGCCGTAAAGAAGGACTAGTCTGATAATATGCACACGGAAAAGTTATCGCGCAAAACCTAGAGCACCTGTCGGTTATTAATATACACAGAATGTTACGAAGTAGACCCTGAAGCACTTGTCTGCTAATTAACACGTTCTTGTATAGATTTACAGTTAATGTTTTTAACAAAGTATGAATTGATGATAACCTTAAACATATTTTGCACTTTTATTTATCACAAAAGCACCTGGATAATTTGACTCTATCGAATGGACATTAATTATGTATAAATTAAAATTTGAAAAAAATGGCAAACAAAATCAGATTTTTAATCGAGACGAAAACGCAAAACAGAGGGGACAGCAAAACAAAAGGAAAGACAAATTAAATTCCAACAAAATAGGGAGGAAAATAAGGAGCTAATGAATGCCACACGTTGCCTGTGTCATACATGACACTCCTCATAATGTCTAACGTAGATCATCAACTATCAAAACAAAGTGAACCATTCCATAATCAAGATACACATGGAAATGTTATAGATAGAAATCAGGTCATCATGATGATTGTCAAATTTACAAGTATATCGGAGTTTCTCTGGTGGGAAACTCCGGATAAGTAAATAATTGGTCAATATGATGCCTTTTCTGGAACTTCCTGTTACAGCGAAAAGCAGGGGATGTTACTATCAGGAAAGGAAGGTTACCATACATGAAATTAACGTATATAGACCGTGGGTTTACCCATGTTGATGCTACTTTTCAGGTATTTATGAACTTTAAAATAACATGTGAAGTACTTTACATCTGTAATATGACAAAAGAGTTAGATTATTTTGAAACCATTTTGTGTATCAAATAGGTTTAGTATTTATTTCCACAACTCGAGTTGCTCTTCAGGAACTTCAGCCGACGTGTGGAGTCAATAAATAGTCTAAATAAGAACAGTACAGTATAGACCTCATATTAGCTGTCTAATAGTTATTTTCGCAAATGGTTATTCAGAAGTATTAAGTTCCTTTCTGTATATAGCAACACACTGTGTAGCCTTCGATTGTCATTACCTCATTTACAACCTGAACACACAGGATGTTTATTTAATTTGTAACACATAACTAGTCAGCCTTTATATTCATGTATATTCTATAAAATGTGTTCATTGATCGGAACAACTGTTGGAACTTTTAGTGATAGACCCTGGTAAATAACCTCTCCACTAGCCAGATATACCGTACAAGGGTTTTATCGCGGACCAATACATAGTGTCAACACCACTCGTGTGATCGGTACAAAGTATCAATGTAAGTTGCCGTATGTCATTACTCGGCCCGTCTAATGAGGTCGGTGTCAAAGAAAACCACATCTTCTCCTTTACCCTACAATTATGTCCATAAAAAGAGCACAGGTTTACTTATAAGTACACATCCCGTGGGACAAGTGGTTACCAAACGGTCACAAAGAATTCCTTTCTTATGGGATAGTTGATATCATTTAACATTGCGCATTGTATTCTATCTATTTCGTTCATAGAGCCTTAATAAAGATACAAAGGAGTGTCAATGCATTTGATAAAAATAGAACGTGTTAACAATAATGATAAGTTCATGGTAGAAATGGGGACACATTCGCCTCATGATCCCACAGTTTGAGGACTTCTGTGTTGTTTTTACAAGTTTTATTGCGTCCGGGTTAAGTTTAAAGCCAGTTCCTTATCCGGAAACACCATGCTTAACCTAGTCATCAAGTTAGACTGACAGTCGGAGAATCAACCGAGTTGATTGCTTTCGAAAGAGGGATGATTGAATGACCCCTGATATAGAGCTAATATATAAGCGTCTGATTAAATAGCCGTCTAGCGACCTTTGTTGGGGTTTATATACCTATCAAAAGATGCTAGCTATCCGCCCATAGTCTATTACATATGCTTGTATGGAACGAATCGTCAAATATATAATTCACTTAGTCAATGGCAGTGTCATTTATGACTTATGGTCGTGAATTCTCATTTTGCTGGGAAAATAATTTCCCTTTTTGGCATTTAAAGAACCATTTGTGAGCTAAGTGCACAAGGTTTGGCCCGAAACTGTTTCTTTTTCGCTCTTTTTCTGACACGTATCACACAGGCGGTGGTCCTTTAGCCCAGCTGTGTACCTGGGAAGCATTTTCTAGGCTCATACAAATGTTTCTGAGTCACAATAAGGCGCTATAGAATTTTATATACTACCGGGGAACGGTTAATAAATCAGGAATATTTAGCAATCTATATCCAAGTCAAACCGTTGTGAATCGGGATTGAGTATTTTCATTGTAAACTTATGTCTTTTAGTGGTTATTTATCTACGAGTAGAATGGAAGTGTCCTTGAACTTATCTACCTATTCCCAAAAAGAGGAAGGATACAAATGTTTTTCTTGTTAAGTGTAACACTCTTAAATATTTTTTAAAAAAAATATCATTCATTCATTTCACCCAATACGTGTCGTATTAATCGCGGAATTCAATATCATGACACAACATTTTTCAGTTGGCAAATAAATGTCTATAATGAAGGTTCACGTGCTATTCCTAAACGCTATTTACCTGATTATGAATGCCTTCAGCTTTAATAAATATACGCGAATAAGCTTCAACACGACAATAAATCGAGATAAGTTATAAATATTAGAGATTGTAACGTAATTAGGTTTCGTAATGTCAGATGTAGTATTTATGTCAGGTATCTCCCATTGTTGGAGCATATCCGTACGTAAGTCCCTTATAGGGTATTAGGTAAGTATACACAACTATATTGTTTGCATAGATGTGTGTGATTGTATTGGACTTGTCCAGTGTTATACTGACGGGTTAATGAACCATACCTCGGACTTAAACTCGTTCCTTTCTTTGCAGTAGTTTCTTTAATTATGTTTATGATAAGCGCGATAAAAGTACGGGTCTGGCGGAACACATCCCCCACAGACGGTAGGACAGGGTATTAACTAACGTTCAGGCGGGGGGGGGGGGGGAATAATCAACATCATCTTTATACTGGATAACACTTTATTAGGTGTTTTATTGCTCCAAATACATTCTTCATATAATCAATTCTTTTGTTTTAATACACACAGTGTATTTTAATGTTATTTCTTTAGTGCCGATAAAGCTGTCACTACACGTTAGATGATTTTTTTGTCAAATTAGAATTTAATGTCAGCACTTAAGATTTTAGAACAGATAATGGCAAACTGACAATACTTCGTATACCCAGAAAACCTGTGTCTTTATTTGCAATTTGGTAGGTTTTCTAATATTTAGTATACTCTATACTAGTAGTCTCATTTGATTTGGTTTTCGCTATCTTGACCGATTTATATATTTCTTACCCCATCAGCACATGTAAATACATGCACCCAGTTGGTTGTGCTGAATAATTGGTTGAGAAGAATTTGAAAAATGATCCCTTGCTTCCCTTCATCCCTTCAACTACTGAAATACTCAACCGAACCTATTTCCATCTGAAAATATCATGGTTGATTATGTGCACTTTTTTACCAGTCGTAGATAGAAGTTTGCTTTTCAGATTTAAAAGATTTGTTTGTGTTATTCTACGACAACTCGACGGCGTAATAAAATGAGGTTACTATAAAAAAAAACAGCTGATTATTTTATTCACAATATATAAAACTGTAAATCAAATTAAGTTTTAAAGCCTGTAGTATTTGATATATCATTGCTACGTGTTTGACAACCTAAGATGATAAACCATTCTATATACAATATCTATGCATCCATAGCCGTTCGTCACTAAGCACACCAAGCTTGCTATCAGGTAAAATTTATTAAATTTCATCTACTTATAACTTTTTATATAAGTTTCAAATATACTTACCTCTATAAAACCACACAATACTTAGATAATGTGACCGATTTGATTCTATATCTGATTAAACATACTCCAATGACCTGTTGCTATCACCGCTAACCACTATATTAAATAGTAATTAAATTTTAAAATAGCAATATGCCATTATAGTGCTGTCTCGTGTATAGGTATATGGACGGCCATAGAACGGCTCACATTGTCGCTCTAATTGCATAGCTTTATTCAAAAAGTGCACATTTAATGATATTCAATCGAAAATACTTTTCTTGTCCTAAAACTAGAATAATCTTTAAAGCAATAACTGATTTAGGTACTCGTGTGAATGTCAGCTGACAGGTCCATTATGACATGTGCCCTTCTGATGTATAACGGTGTGAGGGTGTCTTACCCCATTCACCAGGTAATTATCTAAGCTGAAATATATTGAAACCTATCCTCATAATATATTACCATATATTTAAAAGATAAGATATCATAATTAGATAAAGTAATGATAGTATAATACTTACGTGATGAGAGAGGTGCTGACGATAAGTCAATGCCACAACACACCAGTTTCCACTATCACAAGGTATCGTGAAATATATGTCAATATAATCCTCCTCGTACAATGTTTTCTAAAGATGCTAAAAACGCTTCGTGAATGGATGTCTGTAGAATATATATCAGATGTTTCAAAATGTTTTCTTTCAATTAATCCATAATACGACAATTGCATTCAAAAATGTCAGATAAAATATATGTAAATGTATAAATAAAGCCTATGCAAGAACGCTACACAATACTAAACTAACACGATATACGGTGTTAGCTGGCACGTAGTGAGTAGATTAAACCGCCACCCGCCTGCTGCTCCAATAGTGAACAGCTTACTCCGTGTACCACTGCCTGTATGTTCGGCCCTCACTGCCGACCCGCTTTCTCTGATACACTATATGTAGCTAAATATTTATATAGAAATGTAAAAGGGGTATTCAGTACAGCGAGTTCTCAGTCAATGCTCGGCTCTGCCTCATTAAATTCCTATCTAATATAGTGTTTCGCGATTGTGCGTCCTCAATTGGACCGTTTGCGAACGTTTGATAACGGGACTTAGTAGGACTTGTAGGGTAGCATTGGTGTAAGAGTACATTGGTATTTACTGTGAATCACACTGATCAGGTCCATTAATAACCTCGGAGGAGACACTTCTTATCGCCATTATTTCACTATCTGTGTCAATGTCCTGATCACAATCAGTGAGAATAGAGATTATTTTCGTGGTGGATATTCTCGTGGAAAGCACAAAGTCATTAGAGGACTGGAAACAGGTTATTAACTTTGTTTGTTAAAATAACAAGACCCGCTAAAAGAACTATTGTAATATGACATTGGGCAACATTATCATATTTTGACTTTGTATTGTGACGTCATAATTGTCTATATGGGATCAATCTGCAGTAACGACAACACTTTTATCTAACCGACATATGAAGACTGTGTCCTCAGATAATGGGGCCATTTCATAGTCGCTTTTCAGTATATGTCGCTGACATGTCATCGACCTGACAATGTAGCATGACGGTCATTTCATTCTGACTACGAAGAAAGAACAAAGAAAACAAAGAGGGGCCATGTGAATGCATTCGGTGCAGCATATCAAGTTAAGTCGCTTCCGAGTCTCCAACAACAGAGCGCAGAGGAAAAGCTCGATTCTGCTGGCGTCCCATATAAGTTGCCTCTCCATGCAATACGATACAATTCTTCAAAAACCCTCATCGTGAATGCAAGATAAACCTTACTAAACGCAGAGTGTAAAGCCGTCGCTTTTTATCAGAGAGTAACAAGGTGAGAGTATTTCACCTGTAATTTTCGGTATTCTGTGTACATTAAGTCGCAAGTAAACACCTCATAGGATTGTGCTACCCGAACTTTCTTCCTCTATGTACTAGGCAGTGTTATCCTACCAAGACATTCTTCCTCTGTGTACTAGCCAGTGTTATCCTTCCCGAACCTTCTCCCTCTATGTACTAGGCAGTGTTATCCTACCCAGACTTTCTTCCTCTGTGTACTAGGCAGTGTTATCCTACCGGGACTTTCTTACTCTGTGTACTAGGCAGTGTTATCCTACCCGGACTTTCTTCCTCTATGTACTAGGCAGTGTTATCCTGACCGGACATTCTTCCTCTATGTACTAGGCAGTGTTATCCTACTCGGACTTTCTTCCTATGTGTACTAGGCAGTGTTATCCTACCCGAACTTTCTTTCTCTGTGTACTAGGCAGTGTTATCCTACCCGGACCTTCTTCCTCTGTGTACTAGGCAGTGTTATCCTGACCGGACATTCTTCCTCTATGTACTAGGCCGTGTTATCCTACCCGAACATTCTTCCTCTATGTACTAGGCAGTGTTATCCTACCAGGACATTCTTCCTCTGTGTACTAGGCAGTGTTATCCTACACGGACTTTCTTACTCTGTGTACTAGGCAGTGTTATCCTACCCGAACATTCTTCCTCTATGTACTAGGCAGTGTTATCCTACCAGGACATTCTTCCTCTGTGTACTAGGCAGTGTTATCCTACCGGGACTTTCTTACTCTGTGTACTAGGCAGTGTTATTCTACCCGAACTGTCTTCCTCTGTGTACTAGGCAGTGTTATCCTACACGGACTTTCTTACTCTGTGTACTAGGCAGTGTTATTCTACCCGAACTGTCTTCCTCTGTGTACTAGGCAGTGTTATCCTACACGGACTTTCTTACTCTGTGTACTAGGCAGTGTTATCCTACCCGGACTTTCTTCCTCTATGTACTAGGCAGTGTTATCCTACCAGGACATTCTTCCTCTGTGTACTAGGCAGTGTTATCCTACACGGACTTTCTTACTCTGTGTACTAGGCAGTGTTATTCTACCCGAACTGTCTTCCTCTGTGTACTAGGCAGTGTTATCCTACCCGGACATTCTTCCTCTATGTACTAGGCAGTGTTATCCTACCCAGACATTCTTCCTCTGTGTACTAGCCAGTGTTATCCTTCCCGAACCTTCTTCCTCTATGTACTAGGCAGTGTTATCCTACCCG